AGGCTCTTTGTGTGGAAGGTAAGACATTCCTCACTTTTTTTTTTTCTTTTTTTACTGGTTTTAAAAGGAGCAACACATACTATATTTATTCCCTGGGAATATTTTTCCAATGGCGTAACATTTAAATATTTTGCTACAGTTTACATTCATATGTGAGCAACTTCTAGGATACTTTACGTTTGGAGGACAGCTGTTCTAAGCCGTCTATGTACTGATTCAGTGCATAGACAGGTGACAGAGTAATTTCAGGGCTAAAACGTCCTAACTTATCTTAAGAGCAGCCGGGTAAGCTGGCAGATAAATACTTAGGCAGTTGGCATCCAACCAAGAGATACCGAGGAACAGAATCTGTGGCAGTCCATCCACACCGATGAGAATTCACCAGCCCAGTTAGAGATAAAAAAAAAAAAAAAAAAAACACAGCAATGGCGTCCAACTTCCCCGTTCTGGTTGTTCAGAGGTTGGGAGTCAGCGAAAGTCTTCCAGGGCAGTGTAACTGGAGGAACACTTGACTCAGTTCCCCCACTGGAGTCCCCAGTGGCAGAGCGCTCCCCCGTGTGACACTAGATGGTGTTTGTACAGCTTGCAGGGCTGAGGGAGCTGGAGAGCTGAAAGCCCCGCCAGTCGCCAATCGGAGGATGAGAGTCGCCCAGGGGGAAGGCAGGGTTCGGCAGGGAGGAGAACCCATGAGTGCCTGAGTCATCGTTATCATGACTCTCCATCACCTTGAGGGTACACAGGGAACAGCTGAATGACAGGGGAACGCTTCTGCTGACTGAAGGGACAATATGTGTCAGGTTGTGTTTCCCAAGATACACTAAAATAGCAAGTTACGCAATTATTTGTCAATTTAGACAGGAGATATATTATTGACACATTGTTACAGAAAGGAGTCTTTATTCGAAAATCTGTATGAGTTTTCATTATCTATATGTATATATATGTGTGTGTGTGTGTGTGTGTGTGTGTGTGTGTGTGTGTGTGTCCTATAAATATACCATTTAATATAGCTAAGCTGCATTCTCCAAAGTACTGGCACCCTGAAAAGTTAATCTTATAAAACGTATCCTGTGTATCATGAAATATTTGTGCGTTGTATGTTGTGGTATACACACATCTCCAGACCTTCTAAGTTATCATGACAGCTGAAGCACAGTCATGTTAATATCTTCGAGGTCATTAAACTTATGTTTGATTTGCTCAGATAAAACACCAAATGAGAAAGCATTCTCTTAACAAATTCTTACCTTCCAGTGAACTTGAATTTGAACTAAGCAATCCAGGAAAAATATCCCCCCCACACACAATGTTGTCCTAAAAACCCTTCTGTTGAGGCTTTTTAACCTAGATCACGCTCCTTACAGCCTGAAACTATAGGCTTCCGGGTCCCTTTGCCCGGGACACTGAACTCATCATGAGCACATCTGCCTCTGTTTCTCCTAAATAAGTTGATTTGGTTATTTTTCTCCACCACCACGACCCCCACCCAGGCTGGATGGGGGTCCACACAGCTTCCACCAGAGCTCACTCCTTTCACTTCTTCACACCCAGAGCTGATCCCATCACTCAAAGACTCAAAGACTCAAAACCTCGCTCAAAACTCAAAAGACTTCAGGTGTCTTTGGAATAAACACCAAAAATCCACCTAAATGAAGTCTGGCCTTTCTCAAACTGTGCCTGTCTCTTATCTTCACCAGTCCCACTGGCCTTGCTTACTGATTTTTAAATACATACACATATGTCTTCAAGGTGTACAACATGCTTAGACATCCAGGTAGGTGATTACTACAGTCCAGTACAATCTAACCCTTCAGCTTCCTTTCAGACATTTCCCTTTGCCTAGAGGAAATGCCTGCCCAGTCATGGTCAAACTAACCCCTGTTCATCAGTCAGGTCTAGTTCAAATAACATCCTTTCTGGAAAGACCTAGTTAGCCTTTTCACTGTCTTCTACCCACTCCCCACACAAACACACCATTAACCAAATCAGCCTCTCTTGATATAGATATACATGTACATAAATAGATAGATAGATAGATAGATAGATAGATAGATATAGATATATAGATATATAGATATATAGATATATAGATATATATTTCCCTTCGTATCTCTTAGCACAATTTGCAGTTCTATATTTATTTGCATGACAACTGAAATAATATAAGCAAGTTCTTAAGGACAGGGGCTGTATCTGTTTTCAATCCAGGGGATCTGCTGCCCTCTTCTGGCCTCCAAGAACACTCATATGCACACACCCACACAACCATACACAAAAATAAAAATAAGTCTGAGACCTGATAAACTAGGGTCAGATGGAAGGGGAGAACCTTCCCTATCAGTGGACTTAGAGAGGGCCAGGGAGGAGATGAGGGAGGGTGGGTGGTGATTGGGAGGGAAAGAGGGAAGAGGCTACAGCTGGGATACAAAGTGAATAAACTGTAATTGATATAAAAAAATAAAAATAATTTTTTTAAAGTCTTTAAAAGAAAAAATGTAGTTGATCACCACCTCATGTCCAGTAGGAAACTGTGTCTATAAATAAATAAATAAACAAACAAACAAACAAGATGGCCAAGTCCTGGAGCAACTCCCACACTGACCTCCACTTCCACATGTACATACACATATCCATGTGCATGTACCCACTCATGTACACATGAACACACATATACACACATGTACAAACATGGACACAGAAGTAGCATCCCAACAGTGAATAAGGCAGCACTGTTATCCCATGGCAGGAGTTGATCAGTACTTGTTGAACAGAGATGTGCAGAACCATGAACAAGTTTTGAACTACTGGATAAAACCTATAACATCTGTGTTGCTATCTAGGCAGCTCCACTACCGAGCCAGCATGTGGCTACCACATTAAAAGTGTTCAATACACAAACATTGAGTGCTGCTTCCTAGAAATGTCCATCAGACCACAGTCTGGGCTGAGACCTGGGCTGCCCTCAACCTTGGTCAGAGAAGCTTCCTTTGGCAGTGAACAGCAACTGGTCAATGAGCTAACGATAGGAGACTGGGGGCTCAGCCACAGATGGGACATCTGTATGACCCCCACCGCCAAGGCTCAGGGACCGCTAAAAAATGTAAGAGCGGGAGGACGGCTGTGCTGTGCTGTGCTGTGCTGTGCTGTGCTGTGCTGTCTGCCGAACATGGCTCTCCTGATCATGAACTCACAGCAGCTGTGTTTATTTCTCAGTCTTTTTCCACCACTCATCTATGGTAATGCTGAATGAACAAACCCACACTTAGCATCCAACACGGGGAGGCACGAAGAGAATGCCTTGAATATTTTCTAACCTAGATCTGTTATCTGTGGGTATTCTATTTAGATATGCTTCAGTCCCCAGGAAATAATTACTCTTACTTTGTTCTCCTTAATTCTTAACAAAAGAGTTTGACTGGCTGTTGTAGATTAAAACACGCTGAGAAGGGCGTTTCCATTTTACTGAGGTAGTCACTGGATTTGGTGAATATTTTCAGTGCAGTCTGTGGGGACAGAAAACCTCCCAAAGCATGCAAACCTGAGCTTGGTCCTTTCGAACGCTCACTGATAAAAATCACATTGCTCAATATCTCATGATTCAGTAGAAGGTGTTCTTCGGTTTCAACAAGTCGGCTTTTAACTCATGACATTTTCTAAGGAAAGCAACCTGATGATTTTTTTTTTCCCACACGCATTAAGAATACCAGAGGTTGTTTTGAAAAAAAAATTAAGTAACTTGGTTTCTATTCGGTGTTTATCAGATAAAAATATTCCCATAGCCACTCACTTATAGAAGCAATATTGGATTCTCTAACCCATCCTTAGAGACTACAGTCAACTAACTATGCATATAAAAGTGAATTCTCCTGAAGCAACTGATGGAAGACAGGGTTTATAGGAAAAATTAAAAACAAAACATGATTTTAATATCAGACTACTCCTTGTAATCTAGGTCAAAATAAAACATGCATCTCAGTCCTTGTCACCAAGGGTTCTCTAAAGTTTACTTTTCTCTCAAACTGATATCTGTCTGGCTTTATAGAGGCCCCTGTGAGCAGCCACGGACATGGCTGCAAACCATCTTACCTTGAGGGATAAAGCAGCCCGCCTAGGGTGCAGCAGACCTGTGCAAGATGGAGGGGGGAGATGAATTGGGCTGAATAAGAGAAGCACCCTTGCGGAGCAGCACCAGAGCAGAGCCTACACACCGGAGCAGGGGCCTATCTAACACTATGTAACCTCTCCCTGCACGGTGTGAAATGCAAGATGATGGGCAAGAGCCAAACCAAAGCCTCTGACTCATAAGAACCCCAAGTTCTTTAGCCATGGCAATCTGGACTCCGGTCTTAGAAGATGAACTTTCAAAAAGTTCTTTATACCAGGTGTGTGCCTGGTGTAGAGGGGGGCCAGAAGACAACACCAGATCTCCTGGGACTGGAGTTACAAATGGTTGAGAGCCACCATCTGGGTGTCGGGAACTGAGCACTGGTCCTCTGGAAGACCAGCCTGGGCTCTTTATTGCTGAGCCATCTCTCCAACCCAAAGATTTTTTTTAAATAAATATGCCATCATTTATTTGGATACTTTCTTATTTCAGGGAGCCAGACAATTAGATAGGCAATGCCATCCCCATCAAAATTCCGACAAAGTCTTCCGAAGGACCAGAGAGAAGACTCTCAAAATCCATACAGATGCATAAAAGACTCCAACGGCCAAAGTTATATTCATCGCAAAGAACAAAGCTGAAACATCACACTCCCTAAGGCACAAACAGTGTGTCACAGCACAAAAACAGACACATGACTCAGAATGGCACTCCCAGAATCAATCCAAGAGGCTACCAGCCGATGCTTTAAGGATTTTTATTAGCATACATCAAGTGTATTTAGTGGACCTCATCATGAAATTTTCATACCCATATATAATAATTTGGGTCATATTGGAATGCCTGCCTCATGTTCTCTCATCTGTGTTTCACTCTCACTGACCTTCATCCTCTTCCCAAATAACCCCTGTTTTGTTTTGTTTTGTTTACATCTAGATTTGGCATATGACAGAAACATGCAATGTCTGTCTTTCTAGTCTTTCTTAGTTTGCTTGGCATGCTGGCCTCCAGTACCACCCATTTGTCTACAGATGGCATTATTCTGTTCTAGGAGACCAACACAAAGGCTAGGGATGGCCATGTATCGTTAGCCATGTAGAAACAAGTCCCAGGTGCCTAAAGCAACGTCCCGGAGAAGGTGGGTATGCCGTATGGGTGTGAGTTGAAATGATACGTAGAAATATCACAGTAGGTTGTCCAGTTGTTTACTTGCCACTGAAATACTCACAGGAAAGTGAATCTGGGCCACGTCGCACTAAGAGAGCCTATGCTTACCATGTGCGCTTCCCCAAATCAATCCATTAATCTGAAAAAAAAAAAAAAAAAAAGCCAGAGAACAAAATTGGCTGAAGTCCAGTGAAGATTGTTTAGTGTGTCACTTGGCATATTTTTCAGTAAGAGCTTATGCTGATTGAATTTTTCATTTTGGCTGTCAGATATGGATGGCTCTAGAGTATGAGTCACCCAAACATTATAAAAATCCGGGAACAATCATAATGTTTTAATCACTGCTCTACAGCAGGTAACTGTAGTGCTCTCTGCAATGTGGGCTAGGAAACTAACTGTATTATCAAGTACCTACTGATGAAACATTATTGGAAAGGGTGTCCCACCCAGGCCAAGGAACAGCAATGGAACAGCTGAACAACTCAAACACCAGAATATGAATACTCAGGGAAAGTTCGTTTGGAGCGAAACAAAAAACCTGATATGTGTTATTAGATTTTGCAATGGCTGTGTTGCAATAAAGAAATGAGATTTTAATTGAGGAGGAGGATAATTACGGCTTAAGAGCCAACTACTTAATCAACACCACAATCAGAAAAGTTGGAGTGGCAAACGTTGGCCCCACGCCCAAGACAAAAAGGGTGAACCCAGAAAGTGAGTAAAGCAAATTTCCATTACAAATGTGTTCAAGATGCATGAGCCACTCCAGAACCACGCCCTGAAACTGGGGGGGGGGGATGTTCCTAGTGATCATTACATTTAAATAATTTCCACAAGTTTAGATAATAAAAGAAGTGATTGTTTTGATTGTATCTCAAAAGGATGCGGTGTTACTCTGGAGACAGACACAATGGCATGGAACACAGTGCACATTCCTCCAAACAATATGACTCGAGATGATACGATAAACAGGAAGGACAGGCAGGGGGAAGCGGATTAAAACTACAGATTTACAAGCGAACCTGGGAAACACTGCTCCCTGCTGTGGGCGGAAGCTGTGCCATCTGAGGAGCAGGTGCATGGGCAGGTGGGGAAGAGTTCAGGAGACTCCTAATCTAACAGATTTTAAGCCAAGATTTAAAAAACAAAAACAAAACATATTTTTATTTTTAAGATATTATTTTTGTAACACGTAAACTAACACTGGAAGTCAGTGATATTTGATGAGGCAATCTTCTTAGTGTTGACTATTTAACAAGACAAAAAAAAATCAAATAACATTAGTGACTACCTGCTGTGTATAGATGTTTTTGTGTTATCTAAATTATTGATCTCAAATTTAAGAGTTAGACACTGGGCTGGAGACACAGTTCTACACACACACACACACACACACACACAAACCATAAACATGCCTCCTTAAGATCTTTAGAAAATACACTTTTAAAAAGATGAAGGCCTAGAAGATGGGTCAGCAGCTGAGAGCACCGGTTGTTCTTGCAGAGGACCTGGGTTCAATTCCCAGCACCCACATGGCAGCTCACAACTGTCCGTGACTCCAGTTCCAGGTGATCCAGCACCCTCACGCAGACACACATGCAGACAAAACACTAATGCACGTACAATAAAAATAAATCATTTTAAGAAGAACTGTATAGCATTCACTTTGCAGGGATTAAGAGAGAGTGCACCATTTAGCACAGTCCCCACAGAGACAGCTGAAACTTGAAATGAGGTGACAGCCTCTGAGGTCCCTCGCAAACTCTGTCACAGTCAGAGCCATGGCAGTGGATGCGTCCATGGTCATGTCTACCTGTCCGCTCTGGTGTTCTTTCTTTTAACTATTCCGAGACAACAGAAGGAAGAAGATATTAGCTTTCTCCATGTCACTAAACTCAAAAGCTGGCCCTGCGTTAGGTCCTTTTCAACTGGTTCCACGTTTTTCAGGAACGCATGGTTGCTGACAAACCATCTAAGCCAGAAAGGGGAGACAGTTTTAGTTCACGGGGACCAAGTCTAGAAAACAGCTGTGATTTCCTTGATTAACGTTACTAAGAACAATTCTGCGGCAGGTCTAGTTTCATCAGGAAGCTGTGTCCTCATCAGTTAGCAATGTCTGCTCTGAGTACAGAGGAATGGCAGCAAGGATCCCTGAGTCCTTGTGTAAGGAGGCTGAGGAGGATAAAGAGCTTGAAGCCAGCCTGGGCTTAGGTGATGCTGCCTCAGAAGAAATGGCAAAAGGGAAAGAGGAAGAAGAGCGTACTTTTGAGTAGGTTTTGCATTTGTTATCTCTGATCTACAAAGTCCCTAAAACCACCTTTCTATTTTTTTCATTATCAGTTCTTGAGTGCATGCAGAAAATAAATTCTTTAACCAACAAACTAGCTAAAGTAATGCTTATTAATATCATTCCTAAAACCACTACTGGGAATATGAGGGATAAGAAATAAGGCAAACAGAGGGCTGTCCACAGACTAAATCAAGGGAGTTTTCTTAAGATGCAAATTAGAATCCCCTTGGAAATTTTGTCATGGTTCATAATCTGTTCCTCAGCTTTTTGGGTCCAGGAACTGAACATTGCCATACCTGGATGTCACCTGGCATTTGGCACCAAGCTATGCCAACCACATTCATATAGTACTGCTGTGTGGATGGCAGTTCCAGTTTAACAACAAAGGCTGTACTTTCCCAGTCTCCCAAGAATAATTTCCTGACAGCCCAGCTTCCCAACATTCACCACAGTTGGCTTTTCTAAACTGCAGGGTTTTAAAAAAAAAAAAAAGACATACATGTATGTTTTTATAAACTCCATATGATAAATTTTAAATTATTCTTCCAAAACTTTGTTTCATTGGGGTTCATGGGATAGGCAGGTACAGACTTGTATTCTCAAACCCTCACCCAGGGCTCCTTGTTACTATTATTTCCGGTGTTCTTCCTTTTCCAGGCTTCTGCCTGTTCTGCCTTGCGTATGGGATCCCTGAGTCTTCCTTTTTTGCCTTCTGGAAGGAAACATTTCCTAAATACCTTTGAAGACTCCATCATCTAGCCCACTTCCATTTGCCGGTGTGCCCCATACATCCATGCCCTAACAACACCCGTTTGTCATGCCTTTGTCTTGCACACTCACTTGGAATGTTTTAGCAACACAAGAAGAAGGTGACTTCATTCTCTCTCCACCCTCTCCTTCCCTAACGATGAAGGATCTGGCTTCTGTGCCATGAATTATATGAAAAATTGTTGTTCGGGGATCTCCAAGGATCTTGTGGCAAGAGCATAAATGTTTCTCTCCTGGCTCTCCTTCTCTGTGCTGTCTCTCTCTCTCTCTCTCTCTCTCTCTCTCTCTCTCTCTCTCTGCTCTCTCTCTCTCTCTCTCTGCAGAATGTGACACTCACAACCTCAAGAGACTGCCAGGTGAATGGCCATGCTTCCATCCACTCTGGTTTCCTGAGCTTTCCCCGGCTTCCAGTCCACTCCTTTTCATTTCTTTTACTGAGTGCTTTTCTCTGAGCCAGACCTAACCCTGAGGGTTTCCTCACCTCTCAGTCTCCACCTTCAGCTCGCCCTTCTCTGGAGAAGTCAGGTGTTCTTAAGGCTTCCTCTGCTGCCTCAGTGTGGATCAACTTGGCCTTCAGCTGTCTGCTACACTCACATCAATCTCAGTGTTTCTTTTACTTTGCACAAGCGGTCAGGTTGTATAATCTATAAATTATGAAGACAGGGGCTGTAAGGGTAATTTTAGTTAATACCTTCCAGTGATTCACTGCCTAGTCACGGAGGACAATGGTAACTTATAGGATCTTTTCCAGAACAACCTCTTTGAAACTCGAGTTTGAATCTTTGATATTGTTAGCCAGCCCATCTCGTTAACGTGTTACATGCTGTGGTATCCTTGGTCTTCTTTCTCTTTCTTTCTCCCCAGGGGATCTTGCACAATCCATGCTTTCTCTTTGCCAGTGACGTCCAACCCCAGCCACATACATGTCCCTGAATCCTAAGATGCACTGCCATGGCCTAGCTATACCTACTTGGCTGTTCGCTGGGTACCTCATCTCCAACCTTCCTGTCCCAAATTCACTGGCTTTCCTACAAGGCCTGACCCTCCTTTGTATTCACATCAATTAATGAGATTCCTCAAAGCCCAAACCAAGAAATCTCTTTTTGTCTTAGACTCCCCCACAGTCAACCTGTAGCCAGTCACCGTCCCAATGCTGCCATTCAGCTCCTATCTTTCCTTCCTTCCCACACCACCGCCACCTTCTTGGTGTCTCATTGTCTTTTTTTCCCCACCTCAGGCCCTTGAAAATCTTATCTCACCTCCTTAACCTCCAGTTCCCCTAAAATCCTTCTTGTCCAAACCCAAACTTATAAATGTTAAGGCCATGCTCATCTCCGGTTCGATGGGTCTCACTTGTCTGCCCTCTGACTGGAACGAGGTTCAGACTCCTTTAAATGGCATGAAAAGAACTTCCCAATGCAGTCCCAGCCTATTTGCAGGCTTATCACTTGGCACTCACACACATCAACTTTATGCCAAGCCAAACTTTTCAGTTCTTCACCCTGCGTGTTTCCCTCTCCTCTGCACACGCAGGCTTCTTTGTCTAGTGTTCTTTTTTAGGCAATGACTTCCCACTCACCATTAAAGGTGCAGTGCCCGCGGCTTCTCCTTAAGCCCTCCAGAAACTCCTTTCTATGTGCCTGTAACTCGCATGTCCTAAGCAAACCTGTGTTAGGAAACTCTTGTCCAGCTGGCGTTTACTTGTGCCTCATTCCCTGCACTCCCTCCTGAAAGAGCTGGCTTCCTTAAGGATCAGATCTATGTCTCACTCAACCTTTACCTCTACAGACCCAAGTAAAGGGTCCAGCAAAACATGTGTAGACAGTAAAAAATAAGTATGATTTAAAAAAAAAAAAAAAAATCAGAACCAACTCCTGTCCCTGTCCTTTGGGACAAGGGCCTGGGGTCAGCAAAGGGCTTTTCTTACCTTTCTTGTTTCTGCAAACCTTAAGGTCAAGTTGTACTAATCTAAACAATACAGAAACATATCTTCTCCCAAGTTTTCACCCCCACAGTGCCTTAAATTCTGCTCAGGTCAAAGGCGTGGGTTTCTTTGTTGTCGTTTCTGTTTTCTTCTTTAATCTAAACAGCTTCCCTGAAGCCTCTGCACTCCTGCCCACCTCTCCCATCGCTAAATCACACCTCAGCCTGAGTCAGATTAGCCAGATGACAATCCACCTGACACCTATTCTCACGGCATTCTCAACAGGGAACGAAGAGGAAATAGGCAAGTGGAGACTGACCGGGGACAACAAACTAAAGACTGGGATGTGGCTTTGGGGTGGCAACATCAGAACACGGGATTAGTTGCTGGCAGGTGGGGGAGGGGGGCTGTAGAAAGGGAGAAGTCAGCAAAGCAGGTATTTAATGTCAATGGTGGAAACTCAAGTAGATGCTGGCTCCTTTCCTCCAGCAGAGCAGGGAACACCCTCTCTCACACTCAGCTTGGCCCCGCCCCTACATTTGGCACTGCAGGGGAAGAGCTCATTGTCTTCTGTTACCTAACTTCTGCTAGCTCCCGCAGCCTCCCCTCGGTTTCCACCCTGTGCCCCCATTATCTTTTCTCTCCTCTGGTAAGGGAGTGGAAGGAAAGAGGGTGAGCTGGTTTCTGCAGTTGCCCAGACTTTGGCCACAGAGGCGACTGGATCTCCACTCACCCTTATCCCACCTGAGACGTTCTCTCACCTCCCACCTTAACTGCACCAGTGAGCAGGCTTTCTGAGGAGAGGAAGGAGACTAGGTTTCCACACCACAAACACACCGTGAGTCCAGGGCTGTTTCTGCCTTGTGAGACTGGCACACCTTTAAGAAACTCAAGTCAAGCTGTGAAGAGGATGTGCCACCACCAACACCAAGACTGGAAATTGGCATATCTCACTGCACCAATTCTTTCTCCAGACATTCCGTCCACTCCAGTACCAGGGCAACAGGACAATCATTGCTGTTTCTGTTCATTCGCTATTGGCTTTGGAGCTAGGGGCTGATTGTATGTATCCCTCCTACCCACTTCTCTCATCCTCAAAGTCACACCTTAACATGATTCCTTCCTCCCTCCCGGAAAATGCCAGAACTCCCCTTCTGCTACGCCTGTCCTGCAGATGGGAATCAGAGATGGCCCGTAAGCAGTACTGTCGACTGCTCATCGGTCATGCAGCATAGAACCTCCTGCCTTCTGCGTGACCTATAAGAAAGGACTCTGCCTCTGCCTAGTAACCCTCAACTCTACTTGGAGCCCCCCTCTTTGTCTGTATCTCTCTTCCCCTGGTGTTAACAGCCCTTCTAATAAACCTCTTATCCAAGAGAACAATCCACCTCGGTGTCCCCCGGACCCTTACAGACTTTCTTTTCCTGGGCGCTGACTTTGAGGACTGGCCCATGGTACCGGAAGCTACCTGTGTTGAGTAAGAGGGGTAAACGTATAAAATGTGCGCCTTTCCCTCTACCTACTCCACCGCTTACTTTCTGTTTTGGTTTGGTTGGTTGGTTTGTTTGTTTGTGTTTTGTTTTAATTTTTATTTGGATGTGTGTGTTTGTTCATTTGTATGTGTGTGCAAATACGCACATGGATGTGAAAGTGACTTTCTCAGTGATCTTCCAGTTGTTTTTTTTTTTTTAAGACAAGGTTATACTGAACTTGGAAATCACCAATTTGGTAAACAGCAAGCCTGAGGGATCCTCTGGTCACCACCCTGCCACAGCTTAGATTGCAGCCACACGCCACCGGCCCTGATTTGTGTACCATGCTTGAGACCCAAACTTAGATCTTCACGCTTGCGTGACAAGCACTTTTCAGACTGAGGCATATCCCCAGTCCACCCATAGGTCTTCTTTAAAATAGAAATAATATTTTTGCTTAGGGTGGCCTTTTAAGTGTGATTTCAGCAGATGTCCGCCCAACCTCTCCTCTTTCTTAACCAGATCTGAAATTCCTGTTGCAAGGAACAGCCTTTCATTTCACAATTAAAAGAGCGCAAAGCACAGTTTGGCTGAAGTTCTGATATGCAGACAGCAAACAGGCAGTGTTTTATCAGTGCCCACGAGCAGCGGTGTGTCCCCTTCAGACGAGTGAGAAATCAGACCACAAGAAAGCCCTCAGCATCAGATGAGGTGCAGACAGCACATCAGGAAGAGGAGGAAGGAAGACCAGGATGACGATGCCAAAGACCAAGCTTAACGTCACTGTTTCTCCAAAGACAGCTTGATTCAGCTGGAAGTCCAAATGGATCCCTAGAATCAAAGTGCACTCAGACGTGGGCCTGGGTGAGCATCAATGAAGAAGTATGCATGGCAAGCGCACATGCCCAGAACCCAGGACAGCACCGTAAGACTGCCAAGCCATCCATTCCCATTCATCCATCGCTGCTTCCTGGCTGTGGGTGCAGAGTAGGCAGCTGTTTCATGTCCCCACTGTCATGCCTTCCCCAATCATGATGGACTGTTCCTTCAAACTGTGAGCCAAAATAAACCCTACCTTCCTTAAATTTAAAAATAAAATAAAAAAAAAATCAGCTAAACCAAAAGGAATACTCTTTAAGCCTGCTTACCTTCCAATCTCCACTCAGTTCAGTTATATGGAGCCTGTGACAATAACAAGGCTCCATCTTCACCATGACAATTTGCACTTCTGGGAGAGACTCTGAAAGTACAAAGCAGAATTGAATTCAGTGTCTGGCAATGAAAGGTCGGGCTTGAGGCTATACCTACAACCTAATGACGAGCTTCATGTCCATTCTAGCTGGGACACTAATTCATCACTTGTGTCACCCTCCCTCAAACCTCAGTTTCCCCCTCTATGAGGAGAAACTATCCTACTCACAGGTTGTCAAGTGAGGGAGTGTACATAAAGCCCTAACACAGTGTCTGGCAAGCTAAGCATCAGTGACGATAGTCGATGCTTGTTTGAAACCCAGCCTGGGGTCCAGCCCAGGGCCTAGAGCACAACTGTTCTTATGCTTGATGATCTCTTCGTGAGGCACAAATGCCAACAGTCAACACTTCAGACTGTAGGGTCTTCGTGTGGAATAAATAAAGTCCAGCTTCTTACATAACTCTGCAAATATCCACTTATTTATCTAAACCAGAAAACTCCTCGGGTTTAGTCGGAAAAATCTCAATTTGTAGAGGATTACAATGAATGCAAAGACTTGTGGAGAACAAGCAACGGTTGAATGCTCAGTCCTGAATAAGGCGTGTATACCACCCCTCCCCCAAGGCTCAAGGGACACCGTGGAAGAAGGGTAGAAAAAACCCACATGACCGGAAGAATGGCTGTGCAATGTCATCTTCTGGGCATGACACAGTCATTGCAAATAGGAAACCAGAGCAACTGCTGCGATGTGCACTGGACCTGTGTCAAACTGGCCCTGGCAACAGTCACGGGAGGGAGCGGGGCCCATGGGATCCTGCTCTTTACTCTTGAGCTACTGGATGCCAAGGGAGTCCTGAGGAGCTGGGAGTCGCCTTCAGTTGTGTTCTCACTGGAGCCCACCAGGTGCCAATGAAAAGTCACGAAGTTCCAAAGCCACAGCCACATAGAGGGCCCTGGTTAAACTCGATGCATCACAGAGTAAAATTAAACTAAAGGACAAGCCTTTGGAGAAAGGGATTTGGGGCAGGGGACGGGGCAGTGACAGGGTAAAAGGGAGCTAACAGAGGACTGGGGACGAGAGTGAGCAGAATGCACTATGTTCTTGTAGGGAGTTGTCAAAGAAGAAATTTAATTACCTTTTCTTAAAAGAAAAAAAAAAAGGAACTAGAAAATTCTACTTAGCCCCACATTTTAACCAAAATAACTTTACAAAAGCTGGTGAATTCCAAACCAGCAAGGCTCTGGTCTGGTTTGGTTTGGTTTGGTTTGGTTTGGTTTGGTTTGCTGGCACATTTAAGTCAGATTTGCACCCTGTATTGCACTGTAGTCCCCAAGACTTAAGAGTCAAAAGCTGAAGCAAGGGGATTAAGCTCCAAATGGAAGCTAGCAGCTTCTGGAAAAACCAGCAGCATAAAAGGATTAACACTGCAATTAGGCACAGTGGCTAATTGCACCGATTTAATGACTGTACCTGGGCTTAGCACAACCCTGACAAAGACTTGAGAACCTGCAGAAACGCAAACAGGAGAGGCCCTCAGGAAGTGCGAGCCAAACCATGGGGTGTAGAAACCTGCAAATCTGACCACTTGCCCATTCCTTCTTTTTCTCTCCAAATCTGCCTGGTTTTTCTGGTACAGCGTCATTTTTTCTAGTAGCGATAGTAAAGAAAATGTATCCAGTTTAAAAATAATAATAATAAAATAAAATCCCTGTGTACTTATTAATCTTCTAAGTCACAATGCTGGAAAATACAGTTTTAAGTCATTTCAAGGGAGTTTGAAGAGTTGCTCGGAAAATACATGTGATGAAATTCCAACAAAGCCCTTTATGGGAGACTTTTGAGCGAACTACATAAAGTTGCTGTTAGGATTTGATGAGACAAAGATGAAGGCAAAGTGCTTAGCACAGGGCCTGGGACTTGGAAACTCTCAAGCCGCGTGTTTGTTAAACAGTTTAATCCAAGGTATTAACTAGTCTTGGGATGTGATCATTCTCCAGACCTGTAGAGCCAGAATGGTCATGGACAATTTCCCTGATACAACTGCATTACGTTTAAATAGTTGTTATAGTCTCCTGCATTCTTAACCCCTGAGGAAACATGTGACTCCAGATAAAGAACTACATTTGTGATGAAATTAATGATTTGTTGTTGTTGTTTTTTTTTAAGGCAGGCATCTAAGAATTTTCTAAATAATAATATTAAAAGATTAATTTTATTTCCTCTTTCCCTTCAATTTACACATTTTATACTTAATTAAAATAGCTATAGAAGGTAATTATTACTATGTGATTTAACTTTTATATCCCATTTCTAAGCCAAAATCTTCAATATTCTATTTAGGTTTGCATAAACTTAGTGAGAGAGAGGGAGAAGTTATACCGGTGATACTATAGTTTAGACCCAGCCATTCTTTAAATTATCGACATGGATGAAGAACAACAAATATTCCTAAAAGAATTTTGTATATTTTTGAAAGTAAAAAAACAGCTGCTAAATTTAGGCAATGTTCATCTTCAGCCTTTTAAGACTGGAGTCGTGCAGGTTGGTTTATTTGGTTCATCCAGCTTTTCTATTTTCTTAGGGAAACCAAAATGAAATTACAGTTCTGCCTTCTCTTCTATGTCAGTTTCTCCCTCCCAAGGCAGCTTATTCAGAGTAGGCTTTCACAGAGTGCTGTTATCTTGACCAAAAGAAGAAACCTGTGATACACAAGAGAAATTTAAGCTGAACCATGCTTATTTACCCTATTTTACTCCTTACTCACAGGGGTGCTTAAGGAGAAGGCCAACTGGCAAGTAAATTCAAATTCCATAATGCAAGTCCTAATCTCAGTGGTTTACTAGCATCAAGACAATCTTAGCAGATCAGACAAATGACTTGATTGAAGAGGGACAATGCAGTTTAAGGCCCATCTATTCTCAGGCACACCTCACCAAAAGTATCCTGTGAATGTTACAGTGAATCTTAGACTTCTTATTCTTAGAAAACATTTTCACATCCACAAGTGTCATCATTTTTCCCCCAAAGCAAAATCAACTTTTGACTAGCCTTTCGGTTTTCAACTTGCAAGAGTGCCAACATGTCTAGCACAAATGTTCAGAGAACAAAAGCAAAGCAAAGCAAGTGGGGGAGGCAGTGAAAACTCCTCACAGAACAATGAGTATCTGCCAGGTGTGCCAAGAATCTAAGGCATCAGCCATTCTCCTGAGGAAGTCAAAGGGCCAATCTCCTTGGGAAAAATGATGAGGAAGCCTGCACTCCACACCAAAAAACTCAATGCCTTATGAGAACGTAGAGACAGCCTCGAGATGGCCTAAGGGTGGAAAACTCATGAATAAGGTGGCATCTTGGGCAGAGTCTGCAGCTGAGCTCAGATGATTTGAACAAGCCAGCCACGGGGGGGAAAAAGTGATTCCAGACTGGAAACAACAGCAAGGGCCCCAACATGGAACCCAGCACAGTGTTTTGACTGGAAGTTAAAAAGGCCTCCTTGTAATTAAGCAACATTTCAGGAAATGCTAACACTTTTCATTGGCTTGTATATTACTCTACTTCAGTATTTCGTATCACTGGACTCCGTATTTTACGAGATGATAACTTGAAACACAGAGAAGCTGAGTGTCTTGAGCCCAAGGCCATGTAATTACTTTATGAGGATGCAGCTTTCCTTCTACCTTGCCACCCTCACTACAGGGGGTGGGGGGTTGGTGGGAATTCGGGGAAGGCTGGAGGAGAAGAGCCAGGTTATAGAAAAGGCCTAATCCATCACAGGAGCTTGAGCATGGTGCCGAGATGGTGGCAGCGCTGCTTCCACAGCATTAACCACGCCACAGCAAACGGACTGGGTCTCAACTGACACAGCGAGGAGCCAAAACATAAAATAAATAAAGGACTTCAGAAGCTGGTGAAACCATCCTGGGGCAAATGTTGGAAAGCCAAGTTTAGAGCACTAGCAGCAAAATGTGACAAAATTAGTGAGGTTTGGGGTTGGTAGGAAATGGATAAAATGAGTTTTTAAAAAAATGCAATCAAGTATTGCTCACAGAAAAATGGATGACACGTTCATCATAGAGTAAGGCAGGTTCAAAACTCTTTCTCCACCCTGCTCTCCCCTCTGGCCATTTTCACCCTGGAACCCTATCCTTTCATTCTTTCAGGGTGTGTGTGTGTGTGTGTGTGTGTGTGTGTGTGTACACGTATGTATATGTACATGCCTGTGAAGATCAAAGGTCAAAGTCAGGTGTCTTCCTTGCTGTCCACTTTACCTTTAAGAAGGGTTTCTCACTGGTCCTGGAGTTTACCAATTAACTAGACTGGCTGCTCAGCCAGCCTCAGGGGACCTCTTGTCTCTGTCTCCCAGTACTGAGACTTCAGGTAGGGATCATCATGCTCCCCTTTTTCACACAGGTTCTGAGGTAACAAACTCAGCAAGCACAAACACCAGCAGCTAAGCTGTCTCCCATGGCCCATTCTTTCATATTTTGCAGCCCTAAGTGGTTGTAAGAAACAGAACTCAATAATGACAAAAATATTTGCCAAGCTCTTTCTGTGCCTGCCATCTGCTGTCCTGTATTTTATATTTATTAACTTATAAGTCTCCCAAGATAACTCCATAGAGTAAGCAAAATTATTATTATTATTATTATTATTATTATTATTATTATTATTATTACTCCTACTTTGGAGAGAGGAAACATGGACCAGGTTACACAGTATGACTCAAGAGCCTACCCACTGAATAGATGCGGCAGCTTCCAAAGCTACAGGCAGCTCTCATCTCAGTTCAGACCAAGACACTGGGAGGGGTGGGATGATACCTGATTACCTGCAGACTTAGGGCCACTGAATTCTACAAGTTCTCCAACAAACAGGCATGGGCCTTACCAAGACCTTGTCATCATTTCTCAGCTACGCAACTCTCTCACAAGACTCTTGGAATCCTGTTCTGTGCTCCCTTAGCACTGTGTTGGTATCCTCAAATGTAGCCTAGATTGCTCTATCACTCTCCCTGATTCATGGGTATGTTTGTTTGCCTCGCTGGAGACAC